GTTGGCACTGCTACCCCCAGGGGAGCCCCCCCAAGCTGGGGCTGACCCTGACTCTACAGCCCCCCTGTGTCTGCCCCACCAGCCCTCAGCTGCAGCCCTGCCCAGCTGTGCCCCCCAAGGCCCCTCTGGGTCCCCACCAGCTGTCACAGCCCCCACCCCTCCAGGCTATCCCCAGGGTACTGCAGCAGCTCCCCAGAGCCCCGGGGTGGCCCCAAGTGTGGGTGCCCCAAGCGCGGATGTCCCAGGCAGCATCCCGCCGGTACTCACCTTCCTTTACAGGGATGGTCGGCTTCTTCTGCCTCAGCCCCAGGAGGATGAAGAAGAGCACCAGGGGGATGAAGATCTCAAAGGCCAGCACCCACTGGGGATGACACAGAGCAGAGGGATCATGACACCTGGGGACAGGGCCTGGCTACCACGGAGGAGTGTGGGCAGTATGTGGGTCCCCAGGGCAGCACAGTGTCTGTGTGTGTCTCGCAGGTGCCTGGTGGCACTGTCACAGCCCAGCCAGAGGCAAACAGGTCCCTGGGCACCCCAGGACCTCCTGTTTGCTCCATCCTGCCCGGGGCACCTCGGACAAGAGAAGGTACTAGCGAGGGGATGGACCCCTACTCCAGCACTACAAACAGGGTGCTAGGGCTTGATCCCAGCCCCCACAGGCCATTGCAACTGGGACTGCTCAGTGGAGATGACCCAAATCTTTAAGGCCAACAAGGAGCTGCAGGCCCCCAGCCTGGCACCACCCTCACAGCTGGCAGCTGCCCAGCATAACGTCCCCACCACCACCCATGGGTCCCACCCGCCGGGCCACACAGGGAGCAGACCCCAGCACTGTCAAAGTGAGATTTGGTTTGCCCAGACCCTGGCACTGGCTCCAGGTGCGACTGGGGGGGGCAGCAGGGGAGGTCCTGGCATGCTCTCTGTGCCCTCCCAGAAGGCTACGGCTGCACAGGATTTCCACCGGTGGCATATGGTAAATGACAGTAAATCCCCAGGAAACCCTGACCCCAATCGCACAGGCGGCCCAGGCTGGGCTCCATGCCCAGAGGCCCTGGGGATGAGCAGCAGCACCTTCAGCCACTGGCAGGGGCGGGG